CAAGTTATAGAGAGGGCTGGGGCCTTTACACCCCTACACTGATCAGTCATTGGATGGGGGAGTTATGCCTTTAAATGCATCTCCAGGAAAATGGCAGTATGAGGAGCTCCATGGACTTGTTCCCCAGTGAAACAACTACAACTGGCAAGATTTTTTTTAAAATACCATTTGAAGTTTCTTGAAATTGTCTGGAGAGAATACAGCAGATAAAGAAAATTTTATTTAAGAAAATATACTAAATCTTGGTAAGAACATCAAGAGTTAGTGACACTTGAGCCATGACCTGCTGCCTCCCCCACCCTGCTCAGTATGACAAAAGCTCAACGCCAGGTGGGTGTGGCCAAGAAAGGGCTCCCTCTTCCCCTACATCCCAAAGGGCTATGGTATCTTTCTGGGAGGGCCAGGCAGCCAGCACTTCTCATCCTCTTTAACTTCATGTTGCAAAGGTAAGAGATTGGAGAGATCGGGAACTCCTTTCTTCCTTTCAGACACTCTTCATAGGACAGGCTCTCTCGCAGGCGCAGCAGGCAGGAGTGGTAGGACCCCAGTTGCTTTCACCTCAGCTCACATTTGTAAGCTGGCAGTTCCATGCTAGCAGAGGCAGCCTGAGAAGAATTATTGCCCCCTCCCACAGCCCTGCTCCTAAAGCAAGGTATCGTTCTGAGAGAAGCGGGCCTCTATCCCCATCCCCAGCTCCCTAGCAGTGGCTCAGAGATTTTGCCCAGAGGGAGAGAAAGTCCATTAGAACAGAAACTCAGAAGCTCTCCCCACAGGAATGGACTCTATTTGGAAGAGTGTGAGAAGATTCAAACCCAAAGGTGCTGTTAAAAACAATGTATGTTTTGGTGGTAATTAAGAAGAGGCTCGTAGCTCCATGGCAGCAACAAGTTAAACTGCAGACCAAGGAGTTTACCAGAGAAAGCCAAGGAAAGAGACAACTAAGAGAAGTCCTCTTGGGATCAGAACAGGCCTCAAAGACTACCTCTGCAAAGGAGCCTAAATGTAATTGGATTAGACTGTGGAGCAATTCATGCCCCTAGGACACTGTCAAAAGCAATGGAGCAATCAATAAGCAATTCCTCGAGCCTAATGGCTGGGTGTGATAACAACAGAGGCTCTTTAACAGAGAGATCTGGAAGAGACAGCCAAAGAAAGCCTTCCTAAAACCACTATCATCCCAGGTAACTGTGTGCAAAGCCAGGGCTCTACCCTCTGAGTAGCTACTTAAGAGGCTTCACCTGGGGGAAATGGACTTCACTAAAATAGTCCAGCCAGGTCACTAAACAAATAAACAAGGACAAAAAAACAAAAAACAAAAACAATAAGCCCCATGGAAAAGAGGGAGCAATCAGTATTGAGAATGGCTACAATAAATTATATACACTAACAGTAAATATTTTGGTATCTTAACAACAGGTGCAGAGCCATACAATTGTGTATTGGCTTCAATTAGGCCTGCACATTTGATATATGACAGAAGTGACTTTTTAGACCATTAGGGAAAGGGTGGACTATTCAATAGGAGGTGCAAGGAAATTACACATATGGAAAATACATATACATAGATATATATGGTTTTATATATATATATATGCAAAAAAGTGAAATTGGATCCTTAACTCATACCATACATAGAAATAATTTTTAGATGGATACAGTGAATTAAAAGTGAAAGGCAATACTTTAAGACTTTTGGAATAAACTTGTGGCAGCAATGTTGGCGATTCAACAAAGATTATGCACCTCTTCCATAGAGTTGTTGTGGGGAAGATGTTGCCCAGTTAGGGACAACGTTTCCCAGGTCTCTTTGCCTCGGGGTAGGACTATGTGAGTGACTTTTGGATAACAGGATGTGGACTGAAATAATGTACACCAGTGCTTCTTAAACCATCTGTGGTAATGGACAATTTGTCTCCAATTTATTATGGATCAATACTTTTGTAAACAAAAACAGAAATAAATTACCAGAAAATTGATATTTAAAAAGTCAGACCAAATGCAAGCCCATTTTTTATTATTAGAATTAACAGACATACAATTACTTTGCCAGATTGCTATTAAAAGTTTACAAATACTTATTCTTAATTTCTGTACTACTAAGTGATAGAGAGGTAGTAAATAGTTTGTGGACCAGCAGAGGTTAGCAGACCACCTGTTGAGTGTACACCACTCCTAGGCATGGCTCATAAAAATCTCTCATGCAGTCTTTCACATTCTTTCTTCCCCTGTCTACAGACTAGATGTTGATGCTCAGGGTGACTTTAAAAAACAATGGCTGAAGATGGCAGAGACTTCATCAGTCTGGGTCCCTGGATGACTTCTTGGAGCAGACCCCTTCCTGCCCCATCTTGCCATTAACGTGAAAAAAAAAATTTCTTTTGTGTTAAGCTACTGAGCATTTAAGTTTATTAAGTCACACTACCGGCATTAGCTTAGCTAATAATGAAATACAGGGAACATATTTATAGACAAAAGTCCTTATTGGAAAAGATTTAAAAATTGCCTACACTAAAAATAAGAATCTCTGTACAACAAAAATCACCATAAAGATAGTAAACAAAAACAAATCAGACTGGGGAAAGATATTTATAATACATATAACATACACCAGTTTAGTATTCAGAATATATGAGGTGATCCTACCAATCAACTGAAAAAGGTGAACAACCCAATTGAAACATGGACAAAATATATGAACAGGCATTTCACAGTAGAGGGAATAGGAAAAAAATTAGAATTTAAGAAGATGTACAACCACGTTGATAATCAGAGAAATGCATGTTAAGACCACAATTAGATATCAAGTTTTTGAGATGATATGGCTGAATATGGAACTGCCATGCACTGATAGTGAAGTGAAAATCAGTTCAACCATGCTAGAAAAACAATTTAACATTATCTTTTAAAGTTTCACACTTGCACCCATTATCATCTAACAATTATACTATACGATGTATATAATGCTGTAAGATGTAAGCAAAATTGCCAACTTTGGCAAACAAAAATAAAGGACATCCTTAAAAATACAGTTAAACTGTGTTTAAGATACAGGGCACCTGGGTGGCTCAGTCGTTAAGCGTCTGCCTTTGGCTCAGGTCATGATCACAGGGTCCTGGGATGGAGCCCCGCATCGGGCTCCCTGCTCCGTGGGAAGCCTGCTTCTCCCTCTCCCACTCCCCCTGCTTGTGTTCCCTCTCTCGCTGTGTCCCTCTCTGTCAAATAAAATCTTTAAAAAAACAAAACAAAACTGTGTTTAAGATAAACAATGAGTAATTTTTAAAATTTTATCTGCAATTCAAATTTAACTTGGCCTCATCTACTTTATCTGGCAATCCTACAAATAAGAGGAGCCATGTACAAAAGTGTTCATGGTAGCACTGTTTATAATAGTAAAATCTAGAACCCACCTAAATTTGCAGAGAGGAAATAATGGTTAAACTATTCACACAACAGAACATTAGGCAACAGTGAAAATGAACTACAGCTATGAATAAATCTTAGAAACATTATTTAATGTAAAAAATAATTCAGGGGCGCCTGGGTGGCTCAGTCCTTAAGTGTCTGCCTTCAGCTCCAGTCATAATCCCAGAGTCCTGGATTCGGCACGCATCAGGCTCCCTGCTCCGCGGGAAGCCTGCTTCTCCCTCTCCTGCTCCCCCTGCTTGTGTTCCCTCTCTCGCTGTGTCTCTCTCTGTGAAATCAATCAATCAATCAATCTTAAAAAAATAAAATAAAAAATAGTTCAAATACCATATATTAGAAATTGCAAAAAAAAAAAAAAAGTAAAGTAAAAAATAAATAAATAAAAGAAAGGGGAGTGGTGCCTGGCTGGCTCAGTTCGTAAAGCATGCTACCCTTCATCTCTAGGCCATGAGTTCAAGCCCCAAGTTGGGCATAGAACTTACTTAAAAAGAAAAAATTGCAAATACCATTTTCATAAGACTCAAAACCAACCACAACCGAACAATATACTGTCCATACACATGTCATAAAGTATATACAAGAGAATGAGAAGCAAAACAAGGTAGTTGTTACTAAGGTAGTGGTAGAAGCAGAATAGGTTAGGGGAGGAGTTCACAGATGAATGTGACAGAGTTGGTAGTGTTCCTGTTCTACACAGGCAGAAGGTACACGTATATTCATTTCATCGCTATGCTTCTTATCTCAGATATGTTACATAAGGTTTTACATAAGGTTTTCTGTATACATAAAATATCACATAAAATTTAAAAAATAGATCAACAATCAGGAACGTTACGTGAGTTGAACAGATCTACGGACAGATCATCTAATGCTATTATATCGGGATACCACTCCTAAAGAATAAATATAGCATGTCCTGCAATCTGAAAATGGTGAAAAGTACAAAATACGGCTCCATATCTAGCTCCAGGGAGAAGCTAAGAGGTGGAGTGTACAGAGAGCCAATAAGCCAAATAATCAATAAATATGAATAAATACTTTCGGCTAAGTACTGTGCTAGATTATTATGAGCATAGGGGGTGAGTGGTGGCGGGGAGATGTTCACAAGTTTCTCAACTTGTGGTTGCAGAAGACTGCTACGGTTACACCGAGAGACACATTAAGCACTATATTATGTGGCTGTGGACTGTGACAGAAAGAGTCCAGTCCATTCCTCCTAGTAAACCGTCTTTAGATCCTGCCTCCACAAGGAGGTAGGTTGAAGATGGGGAACTGTTCCTGCCTAGTCACACTAGGGTCACTTTAAAGTAAAGTGATAGTAAGGGTAAAGCCAATTAACACAAACTAGCCTAATGCAGACCTAAAATCCTTCTTGGGCTCACAGGACCCTTGAGATATAAACCTCTTCAATGAAATGTAAAGGACTGATCTTAGCTCCCTGCTAAGGAGAGCTGAGCAGGTAAAAACGACAGGCACCCCCGCATGCGCAGTAAGAACACCTCGGCTCGCGCGAGGCCGGCTGGAGGCGGAGCTAACGGGGCCGGATAGTACGACATGGAGCGGAAGTGCGTCGCGTGTAGGGGGCGGAAGGTTGGGCCCCGGTTTCCTCGGCGACAGCGGCGGGTTGGTTGGCGCGTGTTGTGTGGGCTTCGCAGGTATGGGGACTCCTCCAGGCCTGCAAACTGACTGCGAGGCGCTGCTCAGCCGCTTCCAGGAGACGGATAGTGTGCGTTTCGAGGATTTTACGGAACTCTGGAGGAGTATGAAGTTCGGGACCATCTTCTGGTGGGTGTTTCTACTCCGCTGCCCGCCCCTCTCCCTGGTCGGGGGAGGCATCGCCGCCCCTGGGAAAGGCTGAGGAAGGCGGCAGTCTCAGAATGCTGCCCTTAGCTCTCCTGGGCCTTCTTCCTGGGCACTTTCATTGGTTTCGGCTGCATCCTTTTGCGGCGTCCCCAGGCGAATGTTATTTCTGCCTGGCTGTCCTTCTAAACCCTCCTCTCCCACCTCCTCTGCCTCAGCCTGCGCATCCCCCATCATTTGCCTTTCTCCATGCTTTATCCTCCATGTTTAAAAACAAAACAAACACCTAAGCAAGGACAAACCCCTGCACGACCGAATTCATTTTTCATACAACAACCAAAGAACTTTTCAGAAGTGCAGATTTGAGTCTGTCACTCCCCTGCTTACCACTCCAGTGGTTTCCACTGCCCTTAGGATAAAGCTCAAATTCCCTAATATGCCCGGCAAGACGCTCTCTGACGGGCCTCAGCCCATCTCAGGAGCTTTATCTGCCATTCCATCCTCCATGCACTCAATTGCTCCATTCTGCCTATGGCCCTCTTCAGGCGTTTCCAAAGCCTGGAGCTTTTTTCCCCCAGCTCTTTCTGCTAGGCCACCTTTTTCTTCACTCAGTTTTAATCTCAGATGACAGTTCTTTAGGAAAGCCTTCCTTTCCCCTCCTAGAGTTAAGTAAGGCGTTCATACTCTTTTTCCGAGAGCACTCTGCTTATTTTATCTGTGGACTTACTACCACGGGTTATTGTAAAGTATAGTATAGTAGTTAAGAGCAGATTACTGAGTCCCACTGCCTGATTTTGAATCAGAGTCCACAGAGTAACTTAACTTTGGGGAACTCACTTGCCTGAGCGTCCATATCTGTAGAATGGAGACAGTGATAATACATCATATTGTAGGTCTGAGGGTTAAATGAGCTAATAGATGTTAAGTGCACTCTAAGTACTCCGTAAGTATTCATCACTATTATTATTGCTTTAAAATTTTCCCTCTACTCCATAGAGCTCTGAGGACGGTGACTGTATGAATTTGGTATCCATTAGCATAACATATATAATATTGCAAAAGCTAGATAATGGGCTCAATGAGTTCTTGTGATTAAAACTCTATGTTTTCCTGAAGAAAAAATAAAAGTTCTCTTTTTTGTCTTAATATAATAATTACTTATGTAGTTTGTACATTGCATGGTTTGAGGATAGAGAGCTATTTGTTGTACAGTTAATGAAAAGAAAGGAACTAATTTTTTTTAAAAGACTTTATTTATTAGAGAGAGAGCACGAGGGGAGAGTGAGAATCAGGTTCCCCTCGGGGCTCTATCCCAGGATCCCAGAATCATGATCTGAGCCGAAGGCAGACACTTAACCCACTGAGCCACCCAGGCACCCTGGAAAGGAACTAATTTTTTTTTTTTTTTAAGATTTTATTTATTTGACAGAGAGAGCACAAGCAGGAGTGTGGCAGAGAGAGGGAGAAGCAGGCTCCCCCACAGAGCAGGGAGTCCGATGTGGGGCTCGATCCCAAGACCCTTGGATCATGACCTGAGCCAAAGGCAGTAGCTTAACCAGCTGAGCCACCCAGGTGCCCCAGGAACTAATTTTTTAATGGCTATTAAATATGATGTGATTATAGCTTAATGTATTTAATCCATAGAACAACTCTGAAAAGCAGGTATATAATTATCCTTGTTTTATAGAAGGGGAAATTGAGGCTTGAGGTTAAGTAATCTTCATGATCACACAGCTAGTAGGTGGTAGAGCAGATATTGAAACCTATATGTCTGCCTGTATCCAAAACCCATGGTCTTTCAGTGCATTTCCCCTGAAAAGTCGCAGTTAAGGAAAATTTTGCTGGGGTTACTTCAATATTTAGCTAATGAGGAAAAACTAAAATGAGGAAAAAAGTAGGGACTACTTGAGTATTGATGTTATTTCTTTAGAAATTGCTTTGGTTGCTAATACCACAGTAGGTATTTTGCATTCTTTTAGTATATTTATTATTTGAAGAGCCCAGGCTTTGGGAGTATAGGGTGATCTGCTTTTCTACTCTGCTCCTTCTTTACTTTGGTGAGCTTTACCCTGCAGAATTGGGAGAAGGGCAAGGGTTAGGTTGTATTGTGGTTCTCTAACTTTTTCATCTAGGTGTCTCAAAGACAAATGAGGTGTAGGGTGAATCCCTGAGAGTATTGGGGAAAATCTCCATTATATATTAAAATGCATGTAATTTTTAAATTTTATTCTGTAATATAACCATGATTATTTTAATATGTTAATTGTTTAAATTATTTTAATTTGTTAATATGTTAAATGTTTAAAATTCTTACCCGGGAATAATTTGTAACCCCTCCCTTTTTGCTCCCCAATTCAGCAAGTAAAGTTGATGCTTTACAAAGAGCATTATGTTTACCTAGTGTATGTCTATGCCTCAGGGTGAGAAGCACAGCAGAAAATTAGGTCATGCTTGATCATGAAAGGATCAGATGTGGAATGCCCGTTCAGTTTCTAGCAGCTTCTAGGATATACCTCTTCTAATTTTTGTTCATTACTTATTTACTTAGAGTCATAATATATTTTCTCTTTGTTTTCTAGTGGTAGAATGAGAAATTTAGAAAAGAACATGTTTACAAAAGAAGCACTGACTTTGGCTTGGCAATATTTTTTACCTCCATACACCTTCCAGATCAGAGTTGGTGCTTTGTATCTGCTGTATGGATTATATAACACCCAACTGTGTCAGCCAAAACAAAAGGTAATACTTGTTTTCCCTCAGCAAAATAGGAAATAGGTACAATATTTTTACAACCAACTGATTTTAAGAGGAATGCCAGTGTTTCACAATTATAATACATTTGTGAAAAAAGATTTACCTTTAGTAATATTTTTTTTATTCTTCTTGTTTGTAGATTAGAGTTGCCCTGAAGGATTGGGATGAAGTTTTAAAATTTCAGCAAGATTTGATAAATGCGCAACATTTTGATGCAGCATATATTTTTAGGAAGCTACGACTAGACAAAGCATTTCACTTTACAGCAATGCCCAAATTGGTATGTTGTCTAAAATAGATCGTTTTTCAAAATGAGAATTTATGCTTCATTGTTTATAAAGTACCTCAGTCACCATATGTAATTTCTAATACTTAAAGAAAGGTTTCTTAAAATAGGAGAAAATGCTTTCTGATTACTTTTTTTTTTTTTTGCAAACAAAAATTTAGTCTCTGCTTTTAAATGCAGTGTGTTTCTAAATGCTGTCTATTAAATTGTTAGAAGAGGAAATTAGATTTGGCATCTGCCATTTGCTTATTTCTTTATTCAGACATCAGGTTACTGAAAGAGGACCAAGGAATTTTAATGTCAGTTGGTGAAAAGTTGAAACTTCCACTAAGAAAATATATTTCTTCAGTCTTAATGACAATTGAGACACTAGAAAGAGCATTAAGTCCTGATTCTGGTTCTGACATCAGCTGGCAAATCATGTAACTTGTCTGAATATCATCTGAATTTATAAGCATGTGGCTTGTCATCTTAAAAGTTATTATAAAAGTCTAATAGTCTTTGGAAAATGGATTATCTAAAAAATAATCCCTTAAAAGACATTCATTATCATATAGCTATCATATAGGATGAAGAAGAAAATTCAGCGAGCTGAAGTTACAGAAGAATTTAAGGACCCGAATGATCGTGTAATGAAACTTATCACTTCTGATGTATTAGAGGTAAATTTGTTTTTTATGCCTTTGAAATAAAAAAAAAAAATTGTTTTATTGTTAACTATATATTGAAGTTATACCTTCATCTATGGGATACTGAAATTTTTCTAACGATTTTAACCTACCATAGAATGCTTATTGTTCCTCCAAAGTATCAGAAATAATACATCATAAATATATGAAAATTTATGGAATAAATCTTGAAACTCAAGCAAAAAGATGTAGAAAACTGTACTTGGACTCAGGATATTTAGATTCAAATACTGAAACCACCATTTGTATTTGACTTTCGATAGGTCGTAAAACAAGAATTTAAAGTGACTTTATTTTTTAATATTATGTATTCATTTCCTAAGTTCCTTTTTACAATGTTTATTTAAAACCCATTGAAAACAGTGAGGCTATTCTGATAAAACAAAAATTTGAAATCAAGAATTATGGATAAGAGCAGCTTTACCTGCTAATGTATTTTGGTATTTTATTTCAGTTGTTCAGTATTGAGAAAAAAAAAATCTTCCTTCACGTGGATCAGTAGTGAGACTCAATAGAATTTTACATGCATGGAAAAGCACTGCCCCGAGGTTAAAACAAAACCCATTACAGGACTGACTACAGCCTTGTAATCTACAATATATTCACATTTCAAAAGAATGGCTATATCTAAACCTAAAGAGAGAAAGAGTTCTCATGAGCGAGTGAGTCTAACCAGGTAGCAGCCTTGGTCAGGTTTTTTAATTTGTTTGAGCCTTAGTTTCCCCCTCTTTAATATTAGGATTACCATCCTTATTTCATCCAGTTGTGAGAATTGAAAATGATTTATCTCTGAATAATGCTGAGGATGGCCTGTGGCATGTAGTAGGCTCTTGATAAATGTTACTTCTTTTTTTTTTCCTCAACTCTATTCAATCTTTTCCTATATCAGGAGTGAAAGAGGGATCAGATCTTCGATATGCTCAAATGTTTCTCTATGTTTTAGATGCCATCATATTCTAATAGCTTCAGCCTATCAGATTTCATCTATTATGTTTGTAATTAAGGTAGCACATTGATTTTTTTTTTTTAAAGATTTATTTATTTGAGAGAAAGAAAGAGTGTGTGTACAAGAGCTGGGGGAGGGGCTGAGGGAGAGAGAATCTCAAGCAGACTCTCCACTGAATGCGGAGCAGGTGGCGGGGCTCATTCGCAGGACCCATGAGATCATGACCTGAGCTGATATCAGGAATCAGATGCTTAACTGAGCCACCCAGGCAGCCTAGCAAATTGATTTTTGAAAGTACTCTGGGTGTGCTCTGTAAAGTAACTATTTTTAGGCAAGAATTGTTAATTTAGGATCCATGGATGGCCTTCAGATGGTCCATGTGTCCTTTTCTCCCTACGTTTTATGATAAGCTGTCATACGTATGGATGCTTGGTTGAGGTACCGTAACTACCTTCACATTCTCAAAGGTGTTCATGCTCCACCCTGCACCCCCCCACCCAAAGGTAAGTATTACTGCCTTAGAAGGAAGCTGTTTACTAAATGTCTAAAGACATAGTATAGTGCAGGAGCTAAACAAGATGTTTTGTATAGATTATTTTATTCCTCATAATATCCCTGCCAAATAGGTGTTTTAAACAATTTTTAATTATTTGTTAAACTTCAAGTTTATATTTAGGCTTAGGGTAAGGAGTCAGTTAGGAGAGGTTATATGGAAGAAGGAGGTGCAGGGTTCCTGCTGTAGAGGAGGTAGGCAGTCTGTGATTGAAACCCACTGGAGAGATTACCTTGAGCAGGAGAAGGCATAATTCTTCCTTTGAAACTTGGAGAAAGGAGGTGAAAATGGATTCATATGATTTATTGTGAAGAAGAAAAGTAGAAGGCAAACAGACCTATAGTCTAAGTTTTAAGAGAGGGCATTGGGGGTTCAAGGAATTGAGAATAGAGAAAGTTTGGAATAGCCATGGTGAAGAACAAAAGGTTTGGGGATACCAGAAAGGATTTGCCAGGAAGTACTGAGGTTAAATCATAAAGAGGCAGAGGCTGTTTTAGAACAGCAAGACATTACATTGTTCTTGTCCGTATTCTTCTAATGTAAAAGATGATTTGAATCCAATTGGTTATAATTTTTGGTTGTGGACTAATGTGGTAGAATGTTAATTTTTTTTCAACATACCTTCTTAAACATGCTTTTTGATTTTAAGTTCTTTTACTCTACGAATTAAAGGTTCTGAAGGTGTTGAATTAAAGGTTCCTCTTAAAAAAAAAATGGTATATGTCAGCAGACAGGTATGGAAGATTTTAGAGAACAGAGCTGAGGTGATGCACAAAGGCATGTCTTTTTAGGGTGATTGGGGAGGAGGGTCAGAAGGGCCAAGCTACGGAATGCCTATTCCTAGAAGCTCCTGTATGAAGTCATCCTGACTAGGGTCTTTGGCTTGCCTCAGATCTTCTTTGAGAGCCTTATCCCTTAATACCTCAGTTGACTCTGTCCTGTCCTAGTGTAGTCTTTGATCCATTCTCACTGATAATCCTTACATTTAATACTTGCTTACTTTCCTTCTGCGCAAATGCTATTAAGTCTGCCTGTCAGCACCTGAATTTTTGTCATCATTTTGCCACTCATTAGTTCTAGCTTTGTGGTTAAGGAGGCATAATAAAATGAAAAGAATAGGACCAGAACTTCTGATTTCTGTTGAATCACTATATTGTACAACCGAAACTAATACAACTTTGTATGTTAACTATAACGGAATTAAAAAAAAAAGTATATGGGGAAAAAGAAACTTTTGATTTTTAATTTTAGCTCTGCTACTTAAATATGACCCTGAGCCAGTCATTTCATTTCTGAGTCTTTATTTCTATGGTTATAATAATGGCTATGATCTGTTGAGTTTTCAACGTATGCCGGGAACTATGATAGACGTTTTATGTTGTTATCTCCTTAATAATCTTAGTAACCCTTTAAAGGAGGTGGTATTTTCCTAATTTTAAAAAATAAGGAGGGGCTCCTCGGTGGCTCAGTCAGTTAAGTGTCTGCCTTCAGCTCAGATCATGATCCCAGGGTCCTGGGATCGAGCCCCACATCAATGGGGAGCCTGCTTCTCCCTCCTCCCCTGCTCGTGCACACTCTCTCTCTCTCTCTCTCTCTCGCTGTCTCTCTCTCAAATAAATAAATAAAACTTTAAAAAAAACCAAGGAGACTGAGGTTCAGAGAAGTTAAGTAATTTCCATAAAGTACAGTACAGTAAGGTGCAGACTGGATTTGAATGTCCAAGCCTGTAAGGCTTTAAAGTCCATGTACTTTCTTTTATTTCATAATCCTTTACCTTTGTATAGTGCTTTACATTTTATAGAACACTCCCATTTGTATAAGCACACTTAAATACTTTTACACTGGGTTAGATGACATCACTTAATTTTGTACAAATGTGGAATGTGATTCCCATATTGAGGGATTTGCTCGAAGTCAATCTAGCAAATGACAGAACTCAGGCTCAAAATCAGGTGCAGCTAGTGGTCTTTCCCCTGTATTGTATTGCATGTAATAAAATATAGGAGTACAGTACACTGTAAGCTTTAAAAAAGTTAGGGGCTCCCCATGGCTGGACACTGTTCTCCTTTGAAGATCCTGCATATGTGAGCACTCACCACTACCCAGCAGTTTCTCATTGCTTTAACAGGTATCTGTCACTTCCATCGAAACCTACTGGAAATGAATGGAGTAGCCTAACTTGAGGATGACTCAGATGTTGCAGAGGTCATCTATGATGGAAGTGTCAGTAGTTCTTTGCTGGTCTTTGAGCTAAGTCTCAATACCAGTTTTATCTGATTTCTGAAGTCTGCCTGTAACGTGTTATCTTTCTCCTTACCCCATAGACCTGCCCGTTTGGCTAGAGGTTCTGGGGAATGAACGTCTAAGTAATAAATGATTCCTCATGTGGTTGTTATAAGTTGCCTTCTATTTCTTTTAATCCTGGATCTTACTAGTGAAAAAATGATGAAGCTTACAGGCACATGGGCTGTGAGATTTGTGAAAGTCAGCACATCTCTGTGGAGGATTGGATGAGAGTTGTTACATAGGAATTTATGGCTGAACATAAAGAATTATGTAAATATCTTTGAAATGATAATACAAAATTTTAAAAAATGTGATCTTAGTTATCATTAGTGATATTTAATGGTATACTACAAATAATTTTTGTTATGTCCTGTCTTTTCCCTGCATCTCTCCATACAGTGTATATTAATGTTTGTTGAGTTAAATTCAGTGAATCATTATCTCTGGAAAGCAGCCTCTTCATTAATAAAGTTGTACTATTTTGGTTGCATGACTATATTATTTTCAGTATATTGTAGCATATTATTCCTTACCAACTTAGTCATTTTATTTTGTGTTGGTTTTGCCTTTAAGTTTCTCCTCAAAAATTGAAATAAAAGACTCATCTTTTCACTTTTAGGAAATGCTGAATGTTCATGATCATTATCAGAACATGAAACATATAATTTCAGGCGATAAATCCAATCCAGACAAAGCCCTCAGCTTGATAAAGGATGATTTTTTTGACAATATTAAGAACATAGTTTTGGAGCATCAGCAGTGGCACAAAGACAGAAAGGTATGTGACTTCTTGTTTGATACCTCCCCGTTGTATTTGCATTATACACTAATGGCTTGACATGGGTGATAAAATTGAGAGGCAGCTTAGTTGAGTGGCTATATTCTGGAGTTAAGATTTCGAGGGCTCTATTTTTCTAGCTCTGGCTTTGCCAGTTATCAGCTATGTGGTATTATTTAACCTTACAGATTTTGTTATGTAATTGTATAATTAAACAATTATTAATAATTCTATAATATGTGTTAAATAATATACATTATATATAATATCAGTGTAACTGTAGAGGAATAAGTAATCTTGATATACCACAGATTTATTATCTTTATAATTTAGCATTTTCCAGAGGTTGCACACTGGCAGTCTTTGGGTCAAATCCTACAGACAGGTGTGGTTTATTTGACACAGTGTTGATCCTAACATTGTTTTAAAAAGTTGAATTAGTCACTAGAATTTAAATTTTTGTGACTTCACTTAAAATTCCAGACATCCAACTTCTCTTAAAAGTCAGTGGTTTGGGGGCACCTGGGGTGACTCAGTCGGTTAAACATCCAACTCTTGATTTTGGCTCAGGTCATGATCTCAGGGTTGTGAGATCAAGCCCCCGTGTTGGGCTCCGGAATCAGCATGGAGTCTGCTTGAGATTCCCTTTGCCCCTCCTCCCATGCCCACACTCTTTCTCTAGCTAAAATAAATAAGTAAATCTAAAAAAAAAATTTTTAAAAGTCAGTGGTTTGATAACACTGGTTCCATCTTTCTGCATCGCAGCAGACTGCTAGGCCTGAATTGTGGCTTCTTCCATTGTGATAGGGCATCCTCTCCCTGCCTTGGTTTATCCATTTACAAACTCATCAACACAAATCTTCAATTTAGTTTTCTGATCCAAATACTGATGCTAGAGCTCCCCATTTTTCACAGTAACCTTTTCACCTAGAGAAACTTTTTTACTCTGGAAACCTCGTGGCCAGCCTTGCTAAATTTAACTTTGAAACCACTACTCCATCTTATTTTAGTAAATCGTTTTAGGAAAAAATAAAAGTAAAACATAAGCAATTTCTGATGATTTACTATGTATCTGATAATAGTATTTTCACAAATGCTACATAGGTATTATTATTTTATATATTGTCTTTTAGAAAGATTGGCTGCCAGTTTTCGGTTTTCATTGTATAAAGGGAGCTGGTTCAAAAAAAAAAAAAAGGGAGCTGGCTCAAAACTTAATTTTAGAAAAGATAAAGTGATGAGAGGAAACAATTTGCTTCTACCCACATTTATTTTAATGAGAGACAGTACATTTTAGACTGTTCGAATACTTTGTTATAAATGAGTTACACAAATGACCTAGGAAATTCATGTAAAAATCTATTAGGTACTCTCTTATAGTACCCTTTTTTTTATTGTACTGTCTTTTAATAAACTCTAATTAGCATTACTAAGACTTCTGAAAACCTGAAGGAAAGGAGAATAAACCAGTTTTCTTACTGCTATATGAAGTACATGTTTTCCTTCATTAGTTAGGAGGATTTAGGCATTTCATTGATAAATTTTACAACTATTCTGAAACCTAACCTTGATCTTAATGTCAGGTGGTGAACCATGCTGTAATAATGTGAAATGATCTTTTAGTTTTGTAGTAATTAAGTGTTTCTCATTGCTCTGAAATGATTTGCAGTTGATTTTTAGTTAATTTGAATTATAAATGTGTATATATAACTTTTTTCTCTTTCAGAATCCGCCCTTAAAATCAAACGTTAAAGATGGAGAAGAAAAGAGAGAAGGAAATTCACAAGAATCAGAGGTCAGAAAAATTCACTATATGATTGTTCACAGGGCAATAGTTTAGTTAGCTTCTTTTCATTTGATATGTGGCTGTGATTCTGTATACAAGTATCATGACCCTTGGTCAGTATTATCATAGTTATCTCAGACAATTCTGAAACATCAGTTCTCTGAAGCCTTAGTCTGTTTTTTACTGGAAACGCTATGAAAGACACTTCAAGTGTAGATTGGGAGTGACAATGGTAAGTGTTTCTTCAGGGAAAGGGGAGGATAGTGGTGGAGGGTGTTCTCCGTCCTTACATAGACAGTAGGGTTTTTATAGTATATCTTTTCTTAACTTCTTGTCTGACTTTAAACCAGTGTGGAGCTCTGGCTACTATTTACTGCTTCCTGCCTCCAGAGTTTTCATCCATCTTAGTGGATGAGACAAAAAGCCATCTTTGGGCATAGGCAGATGAGGGAGCAATGGCCTGATCACTAAGGCTTTCATTCATATTATCCTCCCTAAATCCTGAATAATAACAATCAGTAGCCATAAGGATGGTATTGTGGACCTGCTGTGAGAATGTAGTGTGTGTTTATATGTCTTTGGTCAATGTGTGTCCAATAAATGACCCTACCTTCCGTCTCAAATCTTATTTCTGATAACAAATACTTGGGAATCCATAATTTCTTTTAATGTTTATGTTTCTTTTTCCCATTCCTGTTTATTTTTTATCCAGAGATGTGAAAGGGCAGAATCTTTAGCAAGAATAAAATCAAAGGCCTTTTCAGTTGTTGTTCAGGTAAGTTATTTCTTTAGTAAGGTAATTTAGGAATTGACTTGATGGTTTTTTAACAGTATTATTATTTTTCATCAAAGTAATACATGTACATAATTTAAAAAGTTTAATAATACTGTTGAGCTTATATAACCCAGCAGTCTCCTGGTTACCACTTCCACGCCTATATTCCTAATCCATCTTCAGCTTTTTCTCTTTCAGTTATCTCTTCTGGTATTTACCTGGAATTTTGATGCCTTTGTTTTTTATTGTCTTCCAGCTTTTAGTATTCCTGATCATGGAAGGTTTTAGGATTTTCTCTCTATCCCTTGAGTTTTGAAATTTCATGATAATTTAAGTTGGTGTGGATCTTTTTTCCATCATTGTCCTTGGCTCTCATGACAGTCATCCTTTTGATCTGTTTTCAGTTCTGAGGAGTTTTTTTATATTGTTTCTTTGATAGTATTTGCTGCATTTTTGCTCCTTCTCTTGAATTTTTATTTTATTTTTCTTTTCTGTTTTCCATCTGTATTTTCAGGGAGATTGCTTCAACTTTGTCTTCTGAACCATTATATTGAATTTTTTATTTTTGCTGACTTTCTTTTTTATTGCTAAGGTCTTTTTTTTTTTTTCCTTCTCTGAATCTTTTCTTTAAAAAAAATATTTTTTTTCTGATGCAATATCTTTATCTTTTATGTCCTTGAGGATGTTAATTACAGTGTTTTGAAGTTTATGCCTTTTCCCCCAGAGTTCCTCTTTTTGTTTATTTTGATCTCTTTCATTTTGGTGGCTTTTTTCAAGTGTTTAAAGAGCCTCAGATCATATTTAAGAGTGGTCATGTGAAGATATGACTTGTTACCCTCGGTATTTCTTTTTGTTGGATCGCATCATTTTTACCAGAGAGCAGTCTTCTGTTCCCTTGTCTGGGGGAAAGAAGGGTAAATAAGCCCAACCACCAATGTTTTGGGAGCCTACAGAGAGAATCACTCATGAGGCTTACCATTCTTTATGCAGGTTTCACTTACCTTCCCTATTTTCAGTAAGAGGCTTTGTCCTCTTCCTCAGCTATACCATTCCTCAGGCCTACAACATCTCTGGTTTAGCAACTCTCCAGAGAGCAAGCCTCCTGTTTTCTATAGGAGGTCAGTTGTGTAGTTTTGAGGTTGGGAAATGGGACACTATTGCTTTTGTAGATTTTCAGCATATCTACCATTTTTAAAAAATTTTTAATTTTACTTTTTTTAAAGATTTTATTTATTTATTTGACAGAGAGAGACACAGCGAGAGAGGGAACACAAGCAGGGGGAGTGTGAGAGGGAGAAGCAGGCTTCCCGCTGAGCAGGGAGCCCGAGGTGGGGCTCAGTCCCAGGACCCTGGGATCATGACCTGAGCTGAAGGCAGACGCCTAACGACTGAGCCACCCAGGCGCCCCTCTACCATTTTTTTAGACACATTTCTGATGATTCTAATTCCTGATCCACTTGGATCAGCTTGCTTTATAGTAACTTTCTCAATACAGGCAATTAGATTTCAGATTTCTTCATCCTATTGTCAGCTATCACTCACTGTTCCTACTACTAAATTTTTTTTAGCAGCTGCGTTTTCTGTTATCTCTGTTTGTGAGTTTATTCAGAAATTTTCTTACTATTATTTTAGTGGGATTTCAGGAGAGAGAACTGATAAATTTATGTGCTTAAGCCCATATTTCTTCCTGGATTGTTTTCATGAGTCTAAGGATGTGTTTCTTTCTTTCTTTTTTTTTTATATTTTATTTATTTATTTGACAGAGAGAGATACTTTTTTTAAAGATTTTATTTATTTATTTAATAGAGAGAGATACAGCGAGAGAGGGAACACAAGCAGGGGGAGTGGGAGAGGGAGAAGCAGGCTTCCTGCTGAGCAGGGAACCTGATATGGGGCTCGATCGCAGGACCCTGGGATCATGACCTGAGCCCAAGGCAGACGCTTAACGATTGAGCACCCAGGCACCCCTAGGAGTGTCTTTATTCTGTGGGAAATTACTATCATTTTCTAGCTGTAGAAATGAAAAGGAATAAATAAAAAATTAAAAGTAATTCTAGATTAGTTAAGCGTTACATATTTGTTACCCCACAGTAAATTGAGTACAAAATACTGTTGAATTAAAGCACCAAGGACAATAAGTTAATTAATCCAAATTGCTTTAAACCAGAACTGTTCCACATTATATAGTGCTAATTGATGTTTAATGTGTATCTTAAGAGATTATGAGAATTAAATTGTAATTCCCATAAAGTGTTACAAGAGTGCGTCATAGCATAGCTGCAGGTTTTTTCTTTATTGAGGTACAATTAACATTTAATCCATGGTAATTTTTTTTAATAATTGTTAATACCTGGATCTGAAAACTCCTGTAAGGACTCTGCTTAAGCAAGGGAATTCATTGACTGATAATAACTAAAATGCACTGTCCCTCCGTTTCTCACCTTTTGTGTTGCTTTCACTGTCTTCAAGTGTTGTTCCTGACAGCCAGCTTTGTGTGTTCCCAGCCTTAAGTTCAGTGGAAATGGAGAATTTTCCTTCCTAATAGTTATACAGAATTCTAAAATTGATCTGTGATAGAGATCACATGCCCACCCATGAACAAATCAGTGGCCATGGTGATGTGAAACTTTTGACTAGGTCAGTGGCACGTACCTGGAGCCAGGCATCAAGTGGTTCCACTCAAAAGACATGGTGGTAACTAGGGAACATAACTGTTCTTAGAAGAAAGGGAGAATAGGTTAGTAGACAGTAAAAGACAGTACTCATCCTTTACACCTGTTTCCCAGCCATGCAACAACAACTACATTTTAACCCAACAATTAACATTTTTTACCTAATTTGAGTAGATGGTGATGACAGTTTCAGGGGCCTATCCTGTTGTAAAGATAAAGGAATATATATATATATATATATGCAACAAGTATTAAGCAAGCCAGTATAATGGTAAAGTACTTTATGACTTTTATTTTTCCTCATCTTTGTGTATTTTGTCTTTTCCTAAATTGTCTATCAGTTGGATTCATTTTGTGATTCATTGTGGTTAATTGCATTTCTAACTCTCAAGGCATCCAAGTCAAGAAGGCATCGTCAAGTCAAACTTGACTCTTCTGACTCTGATTCTGCATCTGGTCAAGGACAAATCAAAGCAACTAGGAAAAAAAGAAACAAAGAAACATTGAAATCAGCAGGAAGGAAAATGTCTTCCAGAAACAGAGGTAACTTTTTAAAGTCTTTTTGAGACTCAACAAGGGATAATGGATCTTGTTTACAACCTCCCCTCCCCCCTTTTATTAAAAGGGATTAGATACTTGTTTGAGAACTTTGTGAGATTTAATATAAAAACTTAATTATCTTAGATTCTTAGAGTCTTACTGCTTAAAGGGACCCTAGGAGTTATCAAATTTATTATTTCATACAGATTAAATAACTTGTCCAAAAGTGAAATAGCTGTTTATAGAATCAGTCTAGAATTATTCAGAGCATACTTAATAAGTACTTTTTGTGTGTGAATTAAACTTATGTGTAGAGTTAGGTGAGTAATACATTCTATAAACTATATTTCCCTTTAGCTGCATTAATTAAGATGTACCTTTTCTTCTAAATTAGTGTGTCTATAAAAACCTTGGAATTTGATTCTTAAAGAAATGACTATATATTTTAATAGTTTAATTTTTAAAAAATTACACGAGTAATATATATTCACCATACATAAAGTTGGAATCTCATTAGCAGCCTCAGAAGAAAAAAAAAGGCATTAGAAACATTAGTAAATATTCAATGCCTAGTATAAAACACACTCCCAGCTACTAGTGCAGTATATAAAGATATGTTATGGCCTTTTATTTATTTATTTAATTTTATTTTTTTAAAGATTTTATTTATTCATTTGACAGAGAGAGACACAGCGAGAGAGGGAACACAAGCAGGGGGAGGGGGAGAGGGAGAAGCAGGCTTCCTGTGGAGCAGGGAGCCCGATGTGGGGCTCGATCCCAGGACCCTGGGATCATGACCCGAGCTGAAGGCAGACGCTTAACTGAGGTGCCCCTGTTATGACCTTTTAACATAAATGTTTCCCTTCCTATATTGAGGCAGTAGAAGGAGAATTGAAGTTAATTACCTTTAACATAGTCCAGATATGATTAAGTTTGGTAACAGTTGCTTGAAGTATACTGAAAATTCAGAGGAAGAGAGACCACATTTGTTAAGGATAATCAGGAAATACTTCAAAAGCAGAATTTCTTAGGTCTTTTTACAAGGCTGCAGATATGGGGAAGAAACCTGTTAGACCAATCTCACTTACAAGTATTACTGAAAAAAAATCCTGTTACATGTATTGAAAGAATCCCAGCTATAAAACAACTTGACTGACTGCATTTTGTTCCAGAATGCAGGGATGGTGCAATTAGGAATCTATCAGTATAATTTGCCATACAAATAGGTTAAAGGGGAAAATGTGACTTCAGTTTAATAGTAACCCAAGAAGACTGATAAGATCTAGCATCCATTCTTGATTAAAAAAGGAATCCTCTAGATTAGGCGGTCAGCAAACCTGTTGTTAAGGGCCAGAGGGTATATATTTTAGGCTTCTTAGGCCATAAGATTTCTGTCACAGCTACTCAGCTCTGCCATTGTAAGGCAAAAGTAACCACAGACAATACATAAACAAATGAATATGTTCCAATAAAATTGTATTTACAAAAACAGGTGATAGACCAGATTTAGCCTGGGCCCATAGTTTGTCAGCCTCTGCTCCAGATAAAAAAAGTAGTTGGTTATACTTTAACTCAAAAAAAGTATGTATGTGAATGTGTGTTATTTGACAAAAGGCCACCTCTTGTTTGTTGGTAATACATAGAAGTATCACAATTGTATTACTATTGCCTGTCAATGTAATTAGGCAGGAGAGTGAAGTAAGACATGATTTCAGAAAAATTATAAAATTATCGTGATTTACAAATGACTGATTTTATCCGTAAAAATATCTTAAAGAAAATTCACTGGAAAAAACATAGGAACACAAAATTTAGTAAGATAAGGGATACCACTATACACCTTACAGAAATTAAGAGGATAATAAGGAAAAATTATGAATACTTTTATGCCAATAAGTTAGTTAAGTTAGATAAAATGGGTATATTTTTTAAAAGACACACATTTCCAAAACCAGTAAGAAGAAATAGAGAATTTGAGTAGTTCTGCGTTTACAAAAAAAGTTAAATTCCCAGATGACTTTGCCGGAAATTCTAGGAAACATTTAAGGAAGGATACTATGCTGTTCTTTCAAAAGACACAAGAAGGAACACTTCCAGCTTATTGACAATTTAAGAAAAGACAAAGACTGATACCCCTCATGAACATAAATGTAAAAACTTTTACAAAATATTAGCAAATTGAATCCAACAGTATATTAAGAGGACAATATAGTAGGACAAACTTGGGTTTATCCCAGAAATATAAGGCTGGTTTATTTAGGAAATAAACCAGCATAATTTACCATATTAGCAGAATAAAGGAGAAGGACTATATAACCATCTCAGTATATGTAGACAAAATATTTGACAAAATCCAGCATCTATTCATGATAAAATCTCTGAGAAAATTAGGATTAGAAAGGAACTTCCTCAGCCTGATAAAGGATTTCTTTGAAAAACTACAGCTAGCATGATACTTAATGGTGAAACCATACTTTCCCTCTAAAATTGGGAACAAGGCAGGATGACTGTTCATTGCTTCTCTTATACAAAATACTGGAGGCCCTAGCCAGTGAAGTAAAGCAAGAAAAGGAAATAATAGACATTTAGGTTAGAAAGGAAGAAATAATACTGTGTCTGTTTGCAAATGAAATTATTTTTTACACAGAAACTGTCTCAAAAATTCTACACAATAGTTACCAGAACTAATAAGTGAGTTTGATGAGGTCACAAGGTACAGGGTTAGTATTTCTGTATACTAACAATGGAATAATTAGTGATTGAAAAAAATGTTAAAGGATAATAACACAAAAACCACAAAATAGTTTGGTATATAGGTAATCATGTATGTGCAGGATCTGTATGCTGAAAACTACAAAACGATGAAAGGAATCAAAGAAGTTTTAAGTAAATGGAGAGATAATATGGGCTTCATGGATTATCAAACTCAACACCCAGAGAACAAATAATCCAATCAAGAAATGGGCAGAAGACATGAACAGACATCTTTCCAAAGTAGACCTCCATATGGCCAACAGACACATGAAAAAGTGCTCAACATCGCTCGGCATCAGGGAAATCCAAATCAAAACCTCAATGAGATACCACCTCACACCAGTCAGAATGGCTAAAATTAACAAGTCAGGAAACGACAGATGTTGGCGGGGATGTTGAGAAAGGGGAACCCTCCTACACTGTTGGTGGGAATGCAGGCTGGTGCAGCCACTCTGGAAAACGGTATGGAGGTTCCTCAAAAGGTTGAAAATAAAGCTACCGTACGATCTAGCAATTGCACTACTGGGTATTTACCCCAAAGATACAAATGTAGTGATCCGAAGGAGTACGTGCACCCCGATGTTTATAGCAGCAATGTCCACAATAGCCAAACT